TATATATATATATATATATATATGCATTTATATATAGATAAAGAATAGTTTAAATCATTTCCATGTGTATTATAGAAAACACTACATATACATGACTTACTGTACTTCTAATACAAGTTTTACAAAAATTATCAAACTGAACACAAAGAAAATATATTTAAGCAATTAGTGATCATTTTAACAGTAATAGCTGTGGTTATATCTTAGAAGCACTTGAAGGACTATGAAAATGTTTATTGTTTGTACGCCGGTGAATTAGTACGACGAATACAGTCATATAAATTAAGAAGAGTTTATGATTTCTGCAATACCTCCCTAAACACAAGCATTTTAGAAAATAAACGTCAAATTTTTTTTTTTGTTAGTGTGCCTTTAAACACTAGAGAAAATACACACAACACACCCGGAGATAGAGGTGTCATTTATCTTTCTATTATTCACATCAATCTAAATGGCAACTCCAACAATACCAATATATTATTGAAATTGTTTGATATATATATATACACACACACGTGAAGTCTGTAAGACAAAGATAGCTTTGACTGCAACAATAACACTGAAAATTGTCTTATTTTACAAAACACGCAAATTACTGTCTATGAAACATTCCATACGCTGAAGTCAAATTTCAATGACTACAGAAATGACTCTCCGATAGTCTCTTTCATATTTTATTTACACTTTAACTTAAACACAAAACTTCTTTTCAACACAACTACAGAGTTTTCTAATTACACACTCCAATCCTCCTTTTGGTTTGTTAATATAAGTGAAAAGGCTAGAAAAGATGGCTACACCCCATCATTAAAATCGAACAAGCAACCTAATAATGCCTTATTGCTATGAAGAAACATGCATAATTTTGCAGTTCAACTCAATATCTTGCAGTTGAAATATTTTCGCTTCAGTTCTCAGGCAGGAGAAAATGAAGTCGTCACTGAAAGTTGAATAATGCTATCGATTCAATGTTTTCAAGCCAAAACGATTAGCATATGCTTCGAGTCTCTACTCAGTCCCTGGTTTGCGCCTGGCTGAACGTAGCACCATCTCGCGGCCTTCGAGAAACTCCTAATCTCAGTTACAGCAAGATCATATTTTCTACTTCAAAAGTTTCGAAAAATTAAAGCTCTTGCGAGCCAACTAATTGCCTTCTTACGATTACTGTCTACCTCATACTCGTATCCCTGTAAAAAAAAATAATTCAAAAATAAACTAAAATGCAAATTCTCTAGTTTCAATTAAAGTTAAGTTGTTGTACTTACACGGATTATGTTTTCTTTTCTTTTTTTCTCCTATGGTCACCAAACCTTAGTCTTTCAGAACACGTTAAAAAAACAATCGTCTATTTATTTAATTTCCCGTTATTCCGACTTTATAAGAGTTTAGTAAAAAGATCTTCTTAATTAAAATCGTGCATAATGAAATAATTGTTACATAGTGTGTAAAATCACACATTTCACGCAAAGAAAATCAAAAGCGACAGAGGAACGAAGTTTTACTGAATTGTTACGAATTAATTATAAACCATAAGTTGGTTAAAAAATCTCGAGTTATTCTTTTTGGTGTCGTTATCGAAAGACTCGTGGTTTTCTAAAATCATACGCGTGATTTTCAACAATACAAATTCTTAGTTTTGAAAATCTATACACTGCAACAGAATTGTAGCTGAGCTGTTATTTTCAATAAAAGCAAACACCCAGAAATATTAAAATATGTACAAATTTGACGCTACTTTTTATTACACTTTATCAAGTTCTATTTACTACTACTAGGTAAGACATATCAATTATTACGTGATTAAAACAGCAACTAAAAAGCTACATTTGTATTATAATTGTTATTATTAGCGAATAATTCTTTATAGTATAATGTTTACTTGCAGAATTACGTAAAAAAAGCAATGATCATTTCTGTTATCCCTGGTTGCCTTAGTAATAGTGCCACCTATAGGTAATGTCACTTTTTATTCACTAATATCTTTTTAGATTTCATTTTGATCTCTTATTTCTCCCATTTTTGGCGAGTACTCTTAAAAAAACGGCGTGTTCTTTGTAGAATTTGATGTGCTGAGACTTAAATTGTACCAGAGAGGCTTAAGTAATACAGATTTCTTCTTCATCATATTTTCATGTTTTATCTTTAAAGTTTCTTCCGCATGTTTCGGTTTGTTTTTGACTTCGCGAGTTGTCATTGAATAAGTCACCAGCTTTTTAAATATTGATGACCAAATACACTGTTGTTGTTTTTTTCTGTTAACCCTCATTACAACACGTTTACGTGGTCCTCTTCAGAATCTCGGGGACTTCCCACCGCCGACGCCATGTCAGATTCGTTACTCTCGTCTGGACCTGCTGAACCACTCATCTGCCCACTAGGAGGAGGAACGTCACCATTCTTAGCTATGACATCATCGTCGAAGGAAGAGTTTTTCTGTTCAATCCTCACGTCACTCAGGTCTGGATTTGGGTTGGTTTTTGTAGGCAATGTTTGCTCACGTGATCCACCCGCGGATAACAGTTCACGCTCCTTAGAGTTTCTCCACTTCATTCTTCGGTTCTGGAACCATATTTTCACCTATGTAAAATCATTAAATTGGTTAGGCCCAAATTTTTAATCAGCATTCATTTCTTTTTCACCTTCAAACTTTTTCCAATCAACTCAAATATGTCAGTGACACAATGAACTAAAATTATTGTAATTTGTAAAACTGATAACATCCGTGTGATCAATTATAATTGCCATAAGACATTAGTATTAGACCTATTGTATATCTTAACACTACATTTCTTATTCAATCCTTTATGAAGGAGAAGTGAATATAACAATATTTCAACCACACTATGTCCGCCACATCCATTGCCGACGACGAGTTTTGCTGAATACAGAGCTCATCAGGCCGGCTGTGACAGAGCAAACACAATAGCAATAGAAACCCTATAGCACCTGTATCACAATATATTTTAACAATATAAAATAAAATATACAACATTACAGACTACGAAACGTTGGGATATAGTAAGGTTTAACAATGTCGTATACTCGTATTGTTACTACACAAAATCACATATCTCATAGTGTTTGAATTTCTTTGTGTCTATATGGGTTTCAATGAATTTCTAAGCACTTAAAAAACTTGAAACGTTTTGCTGTGGAGTTTGACAACGTTGCTTACGCGTGCTGTAACGGCAGAATCACTTATAGTTTGACGTTCTTTGTTTATATATTAGATTCTACAGGTTCTTTTAACGCTATTTGGATTATTTTATTTTATTCTTTATGTACCCTGACTGTCAGAGAAATCTGTTAGGGTCTAAATTTAGCATCTTATTATGTACGTTTCACATATTATATTGTTACAGTTAGGGAATTAATATATCACCGATACTTATTTTGTTACACGGTTTAGATCCAGATAAGTATGTTACTACTAATACGACCAGCTAGACCATTACAATAATAATCTTTAGTTATTTATGTAGTGTATTTTTCCGAAGAAGACATTCAGGGACTGCTGCCACGTGTCAGGTTCTTTAAATTATTATTTTTTGTTTGAAGTTCTGCACAAAGCTACATAATGGGTTATCTGTGCTCTGCCCACCACGGGTATCGAAACCCGGTTTCTAGCGTTGTAAGTCCGCAGACATACCGCTGTGCCACTGAGGGGCTCTTTAAATTAAAAATAGTGTTTTAATTCATGCTTTATAACGTTGTTTTCGTGCATTAGTTTGATATATTTCATCATGAAGAAGCCTTTGTATTTACTTAAATGCCTTGCATGTTTAATTTGCCTTATTAAACAACATAGACGTTATTTCTACGTATTAATTGCTCGTTAGATGATAAGTATTGCCATCAGTATGAATTGTAAAAATTACTATATTTTCTATTACTCTGGAAGTTTACTTTGGTTTATTTGTTGTTAAGCACGTAGCTACATAATGGGTTATCTGTGCTGTGCCAACACGAGTATCGATACTCGGATTTTAACGTTATAAGCCTTCGGACTTACCGTGGAGCCGTACGGGTCTCACTCTGGAAGCAAGAATGAGTCTTTTAATTTAACAGAAACAAGATTAAGTTTATTCTATATAAGATGCTTTGAAGTATAAGCTACTAAATCACATTAATAACTTTGAGTGCAAGGAAAGGCAAGGGCCATTCTTTTCTTTTTCATTAAATTTGTCACGTAATACACCGTAACTAAAAACATCAGAAAATGACCAATAATGTAATAGTATTTTAGCAACAGTACGAAGAACATAAATGAAGCAGGGAAGTTAATATATATGACTGTGTACGTCTTTACATGCAAATGACGTCACAGCTGTAACCAATGGGAACTGTCTTAGTCCTCATCTGATAGGACAAGTTAAAGATGGTCACAGATGTGGCAGACAAGGAACACACCTGATTTATGCTGTACATGATGGACACAATATCGAGGAATGATTGTGGTCTACTTGTGAAACTAGCGTCGTCGTCTTATGTCATATTTGGTCGATGTAATATGATCGTTAGAGCCATTATTATCATTCACCTTTGCTGATATCTGAGGGTAGGTGAAGGTAATAATATATGGTGTAACAATCCTCTATTTTTGTTTGGGTTCAAAGAAAGCCTTAAGCATTTCGTCTTCTACGACTGTATAATTTAGCAAAGCTGTTCCACGAGTTTTTCTATAACAAGAGTTTGTCACGTTTTCGAAACATAGTGGCCTTACAACATCCGCATAAAATCGACGTTTTATACAGAAATCGAGAAAAGAAACATTAGCACGAGGAGGATATTCAAAAAATACTAACAACAATATTTTATCGGCAAAAATAATCGTATTTTTTTTCTTTTGAAATTTTGCAACATTTACGAAAAATTCCTGCTTTAAGAAAAGTGGGAAAGTAGATCTTTTTATTGTAAAATTTTGTTAAAGTTTAGATGTTTTTGAAAATTTTATAAGACAAGACTTACTATCACGAAATGCTTCAATACTTTGTTGGATGTTCTGATATTCTACAAGTAGGACTTAGCTAATCATTATTTTAAACTCTTGCTGTATAGGGCCGTGTGTTGCCTAGTGGTTAGTGTGCCGGAATGAAAATCTCAGGACCCGTGGCTCGCGTCCCGTTGTCACCAAAACAAAAACGCGCTCGGAAGTTTGGGGGCGTGTTTGCATTATATGAGTGGCGATCAAATCCCACTGTTTCCTCGATTAGAGTAGCCCAACATTTGGCAGCATTTTTTTTAATCTATCAGTCCAGCTTCAGAGACGGCTAGCGGAGATAACTCTTAAACATTCCAAACAAATGTGTTAAAAGTCTGATAATGTGTTAGGTAAGGGTGTCGGGTCCAGGATTCGAGACGTAATGCCGCTGAATACGATTCTCACTTTCAGCTATGGGCTCATTATCAGATTCAAAAGAGTCAGAAATCAGTGGTAGTCGTGGATTTCTTACCTGGCCGTTTCGATCACGTGCGTATATAAAGAGAAAATTCCAATTCTTAAAATACTTTTGATTCTCAAGTATCATAGAAATTTGAATTATACTAATTACCTCATGCACAGATGTGAGAATTCGGTTAAGTAGCCTCTCTCACCCCAAAAAATGTACAGAACTTCTGTATTGCTGAGGCCAGAATAGATTTCACCTCTGCATTATTATCATTGACTAAATATTACTGAAGCCTGGCACTGATTGGTGGATGGGGTGCTCAACTCACAATCTGCGGGTCGCGGATTCGAATACCATCCCAGAATATGCTCACCCTTTCAGCTGGTTGGAGCGTTATAATGTTACAGTCAATCCCACTTTTTGTTGTTGGTGGATGGAGTTGATTGGCTGCCCTTTCTCTGGTATATGATATCTAAATTAGGGACGGATATCGGAGATAACCCTCGAGTAGCTTTGAGCGAAATTCAACAAACAAACAATTATACCATGTGCTAGTAAGAAATTAAATACTGACCGTTAAAGTGAATAGTTATGAATAAATCTTATGTGTGAGATGAGTTCACATCACCAGATCTGAGAGTGACCTACGGACACGTTCGAATCAATTTTACTGTCAGTCTATGAGTACTTAACGAATAATGTATTTCTAGTAACATCGTTCACTGATAATTCGTACCGAAGTTATTCTTCGTTAAGAAGTGCCTGTATAAAATATAAATATATGACAAATACTTTTTCATAATGAACTCATCACTCGGACGAGGTGAAAACCTTTTTATCTCACTACACACATGGGCAGATTATTCCATAATGGCCCGTCATGGCCGGGTGTTTAGGGCGCTGGATTCTCAATCTGCGGGTCCCGGGTTCGAATCCCCGTCTCACCAAATATGCTCGCCCTTTCAGAGGTCAATCCCACTATTCGTTGGTAAAATAGTAGCCCAAGAGTTGGCGATGAATGGTGATGACTAGCTACCTTCCCTCTAGTCTTTCACTGCTAAATTAGATACGGCTAGCGCAGATAGCCCTCGTGTAGCTTTGCGCGAAGTTTAAACCAAACTATTCCACAAGATAGGGAACTGGGAAAATATTTTATCTATACAATAAAAATCAATACTACTACTAATAAAATATGATTTAAATTACTCCTACTAATAC